GGGGGGGAGTGATATTCCCCCCCAGCCAGCAGCTCACATGCAGCATAGGAAATAAAGGCTGGTTGGAGGGACCAGCAATGCTACTACTCAGCATCCCTGCGTGTTGGAGCAAAGTAGCACGAGACACTGTATCTAGGCTTCAATGGGCATTGTCACTGCAGAAAGGCCTCTGGTTGACCACAGAATGGCATCAGTATAGGTGCTGTGAGGTTGTTCGCTAAGAGAAAACCACTGACATCTGAGCATAGGAAATAAAGGCTGGTTGGAGGGACCAGCAATGCTACTACTCAGCATCCCTGCGTGTTGGAGCAAAGTAGCACGAGACACTGTATCTAGGCTTCAATGGGCATTGTCACTGCAGAAAGGCCTCTGGTTGACCACAGAATGGCATCAGTATAGGTGCTGTGAGGTTGTTCGCTAAGAGAAAACCACTGACATCTGTGGGTAGAGCCCTGCATGGATACTAAACTGGTATCTGCAAAAATGATCTGCAGACAGCAACGGCCACAGATGTGGATGCCCACGAATATCTGTAGATCTGCAAGGCTCTATGGGGAAGTGTGTTAACCATGGGCTGAGAGGCCTAGTAACAACTCACCCCTTTGCAGCCAAATATAGACAGGCTTTTAAAGACCGAAAACACTCGATTCCCAGAGAGGGAATACCATCAACATATTAAATTTAAGCCACTAACCTGCAAAAGCTCTGGCTTCATCCGTAGGGACTGCCCGCAGGTGACGCAAATCACTCTTATTACCCACCAGCATAATGACAATGTTACTGTCAGCATGGTCTCTCAGCTCTTTCAACCATCGCTCCACATTTTCATAGGTAAGGTGCTTGGCAATGTCATAAACCAACAAAGCCCCAACGGCTCCACGGTAGTACCTGCAGGTAGACACGTGCATTCTTGAATCAGAATCATGTCATTCAATGCCAACAATCCTCTGTGCTGTAGCAGAAGGCGAATCAAATCCGACTCTGCTATCTGACAATCCATTCTTAAAGCAAGCAGACCCATTTCATTTTCTTCTGATTTACTTTAAGCCAGCTTTTACCAGACACCTATTCCAATTAGCTAAAACTGCTGCATCAGGACTAGTGTAGCATTAATAGGGTTTCTGCTTTTATGATAAAACCTCAATAGTGTAAAAAAAATCTAAGGGGTTATAAATACTTTGTAATTAGCTGGGGCTCTTTACATAGTGGGCATGTAATATTGCCACTTACAGATGGCCAGAGAAGCAGACAAGTCAGGCAACTTGATCAGGGACTAGCTAAAAACCTGGGGCTTGGTTTGGTTGTTTAGGACAGCTACTCCAAGCTTCCTATGGATCTACTTTATAAAGATCCCAAATGTCCCGTTTACTTCCATTGGTTAAGGTCCAGCAGGCCCGTAACTAGCCTCATATTTGCAGTGCTTTGAAGGGGGGGGGGAAAAATCAAATACAAATATACAATAGAAATATACAAAACTGAAGACAATTTACTCCTGAAATGCATTTTTTAACCACGCAGATGCCAAGGACATTAGACGTCAGCAAGTTTGCCCACAAAATACCACACTTTCACCAGTCTCGGGTATAACCACTTGACAGGGAGAGCCTAGGGTTGCCAACTGCCTACTCCCACAAACACCCCTGCCCTGCCCCACCTCTTCCCCAAAGCCCCAGCCCTTCTCTGAGGCCCAGCCTTGCTCACTCTTCCCTCCATCACGTGCTCTCCCCCACCCTCAGTCACCTTCACTGAGCTGGGGCAGGAGATTTGGGTGCAGGCTCTGGGGTGGAGTTTTGGTGTGGGAAGGGGCTCAGAGCTGCAGCAGGGGTTGGGTGCAGGTGGGATATAGGCCCCAGCTGGGCAGTGCTTACCTCGGGGGGGCTCCCAGTCAGCAGTGCAAAGGCAGGCTCCCTGGCTCACACCACCCCGGAAAGCCTTGTGGCCTGGTGGGGAAGGGGGCAATCTGTGCACTGGGTAAGCCTGCAGCTCACATGGGCGACAGTTCCCCACAAATGGGAGCTGTGGAGTCAGCATTCAAGGAACGGGCAGTGCACACAGACCTCCCTTCTCAGGGGGCAGCACAGAACCAGGGCAGACAGAGAGCCTTCCTTAGCTTCACAGTGCTGCCAGACTATTAGGTCCTAAAATCACCCAGATTGGCTTCAGTAGCTTCTGTGATAGAGAGCCCGATTCCAGGGGACTCCTGGTGAAACTGGAAGGGCTGGCAACTATAATTACAACACAAAAGATGCAGAATTCTAATTTGTCTCATTCAGAAGAAAACTGAAACCACACACTAGTTCTAGTAAAAATATACACTGTGCTTATCACTTACGCTGATGTTATAGCTCGGTACCGTTCCTGTCCTGCTGTGTCCCATATCTGGGCCTTTATTGTCTTGCCATCAACTTGAATGCTTCTGGTTGCAAATTCCACTCCAATAGTGCTTTTGCTTTCCAAGTTAAACTCATTGCGAGTGAATCGAGAAAGGAGATTACTCTTGCCCACACCAGAGTCTCCAATAAGTACAACTAAAGACAAGACAAAAATCATCATCAGAATGGCACTCCATCTGCATATACAGTCTGAGGCTTGTAATTATTCACAGAAACATTTACTTTTCACAATGAGAGCTGGGCAAAATGAGGCAGCAAAACAAAGCCAGCTGTCTTAGTTTTACTGCTCAAACATTCTCCATGCTTCCAAAGAAGTGGAGATACCAAATCCACCACCATTTGAACAGGTTCTGAACTTCACTTTTTACCATTAAATTCAAATCTTAGCTCTCCCACAGTAGGAAGATAATCCATAATTAACATGTTAGCCGAGCACCTCATAAGGGCTAAGCCTGGCTTTGGCACCAAGGTGATCCTTGGACTAAAGCCAGCCAGAGCTTGCCAACCGTATTTCTGTGACGAGTCCTGTGGGCTGGATCCTGGCCTTCAACCGTATCTCCTAGGCCTTTTGGCAGGGGACCACATGCTTCCACAAGGGAAAAGTCAGGGATTCCTTAGAGCAGGGGAATCCCTGGGATGCAAAAAACCAACATGGTCAGTCAGTTATGTCAGCTTCTTAGACCTGGCAGGGTGCAAGCAAAGCCAGAGGCCACCAGCACATTCAGCAATCCTCAGCTGGTAGAACTGGCTTGAGGGCACTGTGTTAGCCAGGGTGATTTGGAGCAGCCCATCTTGCCAGGGCTTTGCTCTTTTGTGCAGCTCCAGAATGAGTGGAGCAGAACGATCTTGGAGCCACCTCCATTTTGCCCTCTGTTTAAATCCAACTCTTCCAGACCCTGGTATCTGGCTTCTTTTAGAGCAGTGGTCTCCAACCTTTTTAACTACTTTTTCAATTTAAGTGCAACATAAGATCTACCTCAAACCCAAATACTTTTGCCCCATTTCCTTCCCGCCCCTTTTTTGAGGCCCTGCCCGTTCCACCCCTTCCTCAAGGCCTCACCCTGCTCACTCTGTCCCTCTTCCTCCCACATCGTTACTCAGAAGCAACTGCACCTAGTAGGGGGAACAGCAGCGAGCAGACACTTCCTGGAGGCTTTCCCTGCTGCTCCCAATGGCTGGAATCCAGCCAATGGGAGCAGCACAAGAACATGCCTAGGACCAGCATTGAGTGCAAAATCAAGTCAGTGCCTCTCCTCCCCCTCATGCCCAGACCCCGCACCCTCCAATGCACCCCCTCACTCACTCCCTCCACCTTGACCCCGCACCCCCAGCCTGCTCCTGCACACTCCCTCCTGGCCACACCCCCTACTCCCAGCCTGCTCCTACACCCCCATCCCTATCCCACTCACTGGCAGTCTTGTTTCACACAGTTAACCCTTCATTTGGTCCCATCCCCAGAGCCTGGGGTGGGGAGGAGGTCCCACAAAATACACTAACCCTATGAGCCCAAAAGAGTTAATCTCACCTGAGGCCTTGAACCTCAGTGCTCCCTATCACTACCCCCAGCACTGGGCTGGAGCACCAGGGAAGGGAGGTGTTTCAGTTGGGGGCCACATCAGTGAGGGCTGGGAGTTTTGGAAGGTGGGGGTTTTTTGTGTTTGTTTGGGGGGGGTTTTTGCTTCTCACTGGTAGAGTTTCCTGACTGATTTTTCTGTGAGTCAGTGGCCCCCCCAATCCAAAAAAGGTTCCCACCCCTGCCATAAAGCCAATGTTGAAACCTTGTGTGTTGGACAATATTTTCTTTATTTAAAATGAAGCCCCAATCAGGGCCCAGTCCTCAACTGGCCGCAGCATCCTGTCCTGGGCCCTGATCCAGTTATGGATGTAAACTTCAAAGAAATGTGCAAAAAGACACAGAAGCAGCAATCCCATTAAATATAGTCTTCAAATACAATGTTTCATTTATGCTATTAATCATCATGTCATTAAGTTGTATATTTCCAGTCATGCAAATGGGCATTCTCCTACATCTTTGTTGACCGCTTGTTCTGAATTTTGATATAGTTTGGCTCTTTGGTTTGAAAAGGTTGCCGATTCCTGACTTAAGGGCTCACAACCAAGTGGCGGTGACACATAACTCTAGTCATGCCATTCCTTTGATTCACAGCAACGATGGCCGTGGGGGGATGATCCTAAGCCCTGGCAGCAATGAAACCCTTCCGCACTGATAACAAGGAAAATAAACTGAAGATAAGCAGGGGGCTAGAAAAGCAAAGCAAATAACCTTCAAGCTAGGAGTGAGCCAAGGCCAGCAACACAAAGGAGAGCCCACCACTGCATGGCAAATGATTTTGCTGAGCAACATTTGTTGTTAAAGTCTGCAATATTTTGCTAACTGCCTCTCATTTAGCATTAAAACTGGAAAAGCTAAGGTATTGAAGCACAAGGTTGTTGGCTCTGCCTTCTGAAATATTAGTGCTCTCTCTAGATGTGAGAAGAGTGGACCAGTGTAAACAAACTCAGTTCAGGTATGAAAAACAAGAGTTCTAAGTCTGCAGAGAAAACTGCTGCAGCTTCACACAGCAGGTTTTCTGGTTACCATCCGCCACTTCCAAGTTTTCTGTGCCTAAGTTAAAAAAATTCTAAAAGCAACACTGGCAAAAAGGATTTGCCTTTTTTATAAAGGTCATACATCAGTGACGCACCTTCTAAACTCCCCCCTTGCCACAAAAAGCAACACACAAGCTTGCAGAACGGCCTTAGAGGCCATTCTTTCCGGCTGCCTCTGCCAGCTGACTCAGCAAGAAGCTTGCCATGCTGCAGAAGTTGTATGCAGCACAAAATATCTCTGTTAACCATTTGTTTGTGTGGACATCAGGTACTTCATTAGGCAGAGGACATACAGGTTTGCTAGACTGGCTTTTATTCAAGTGTGACATTTCAATATTGCTAGATTTCAGTTGTTGTCCCCCCCAACAGCTGATTTTGCTAACATACGGGATAGGAGACTGACAATCCAGGTGCAAGGGACAAGTCTGTTTCATTTTTTCCTGGGGGAATTCTGTTCTACTGTGTGCATGCAGAATTTGTAGGTTTCTTTGCTTCCCAGCAGAAAAGTGGCTGACCCAGAAGCAAAGGCACATCACAAGAACGGTTACATGCCCCATTGCAGCAGCACACGTGCTTGGTCGCGGATGCCCAGCACAACCAGCTGAGAGAAAAGTCACTGGGAGGCAGCATGGGATGCCCTCACCATTGCCATGCCAGCCCCATGCATCCCAACTCCCAGCCAAGCCTCACAAATCCAGAACTCCCCTAATAAGCCACCACGATACCTGGCCCTCCTGAGCCCTACCTAGAGCTGGGGATGCCCCAGCTGGTGGCTCCTACACCCTTCTGCCAAGCTCAGTTGCTAGTCCCAGCTGGGCTGGAGGAGGAGCACATTTTCCTTTCACGGAGGTGGGTCAGATCCCACCCCAGCTTTGCAACCTCCCTATCCGCAACTTCCTGCCCCATTGTGGGAGGAAGAGTCAGCTGCTGGGAAGCTGCCCCCTGTCCACCAAACCCCCTGCATCTGGATGCCGCCAGACACCCCCCTACACACACCCCAAGAGCAAGCCCCAACCCATTTCATCCAGACCACTCCCCACTGAGCTCCCACCCTGACAAGCCCTGGCAAGGAATGTTGAGAGACTCTAAACTCAATCTATTTATCTTAATAGGGTAGAGGGGGAGGGAGCTTGACTAGTCTACAAATATTTAGCCCAACAAAGAAAGGTATAGTACAACCCAATAGCTGGAAGCTGAAGTTAGAAAAATTCAGATCAGAAATAAGGTGTAAAATTTCAATGGTGAAATGTTAATGGTGAAACCAGAGGAACATTACTAAGGATCATGGTGGAGTCTCCATCACTGATCAGTCTAAAATAAAGATTAGATTTTTTTTTGAGTGATCTGCTCTAGAAGTTATTTTAGAGGAAGTTCAGTCTTTGTTATACAACAGGTCAGACTAAATTATCAGAGTAGTCCCTTCTGGGCTTGGAATCTATTTTGGCAAGTTTAGGGCAAGTTTTTAAAATAGCTTTACAATGACAAACTGCATACCCGCAGTGGGAACCCTTCAATTCCTTTTTATCAAGTTCTAACTCATAACCATCAATGTGTAGCATCCACTTGTTATGCTAGGGACCAAACAGTTTCTTGTTTAGTTAATTTTCTGTTGTACCCAAGTTCCCTTTTCCAACAGATTGTGTAGTATAACCCTGCAGCATGAATAGCAGCTAATTTAGCTGTCCCTGCTCCCGCCATCACCAATATTTTTGCTATATTTCCTAACTATTAAGCATGAAAAACTTCAGTCATTCTGCAAACTTACTGGGGTTCTCTTAGCTCGCCTAAGTTCCATGCTGTGGCTGACATCAATGAACAGTTTCTGTGACAATTTCAAAAGGAGCTACAGTATCCAATTAAGAGAAGAAAATATCAGACTCTTTTCCCCCCCTCTTCCTATTTTCTCCACTTAATTGGGCCATTTTTAACTCCTCCTGTATATGGCAGGGGAACTTCACACATCAGCAGATAAGATCCAGCTCTAACCCTGACAGAGGCAAAGACAAGATTATTTTTCTTGAAGAACTATTAAGTTATTCATAGTTACACAGAGATAGTGAAAACTAAATTTGGTAACACTTTAAAAGTCTCTTCTTTCTTCCTCACATACTCACTTCAATTTTGATACCATCTAGTATTCTCACGAATCCTTAAAAATCATTTAAAATCATTCAGAAACTTGATCTCATGCTTTCAGCTAGTGCACAATACTTTTCTAGCTCCAGACGTTAGAACAGCTACTAAAATTCTGGTCAGCGTCAAGGTTTCCAGTGGGTTTTATGTCATTTGTTTCAAAGTCTAAATTCACCACACAATGGGCATTAGCAGTGAATGATCTTGGATGTAAAGACAGTAAGTCCCATACTTTGGAACAGTCTTTATCTGCACGAGGCAATAGGGTTCCAAAGAGTATCAAGGTAAAGCATGCAGACAGGAGAGAAGGTTTTTAAAAAGGCAACAAGATGACTATTGTGGCTTACAGAGAAATTTTGAATGGCTATTAGCACCGGGACGGGGTCCCCAGTAAGGATGTAAGGGAGTAGTGAACTACTCACATTCCCC